GTTTCATAGAAGCGAACTTTCATTCTTTGGATGAAAAACTAAAGTTTACAGAAGCAGTGTTACTTTATATTACAGCATCTTGCGAAGTTGTATAAACATAAGATTACTGCTATTGGTGAACATTTTAAGCAAGTTACTCCCATCCGTCTCAGCTGCTACAAGCTGATATCAAAGAAGGCATTTATATTTTTTTTTAAAATGAAAGCTGAATTCAGTGTTTTCTTTTCTACATTTGCAAATGTTTTGTCAATGGATATTTCCTGCACCGTATTATCCCTCATGCATTGAGTAAAGATTTAGAAGTGTAAGCTGATCAGCTTACTTCACCAATGACCCGAGAAGAGGATGAGAAGATTGAGCGGTTTCGATCCGTTGTTTGTGATCAACTACAAGGCGAATTATCGAAGATAGAAAAGGATAGACAGCAAATCGTTACAGAATTGCAAGAATTCGCATCTTTGCTGGTCGTTGTGCGAAATATGCAGGTACACAGCCTATGTGCTGAAGGTTTACTGCAGGTTTCACTGTACATTGCAGAATAACAAAGCCGATAAAATCAATATTCGTACGTCTCTTGGGCATCAAGTGTTCGTTAACGCAAAGTTGTAAGTTTCACAGTGTACAGTGGATCTTCATCGTTGTTAATTTCTTGAAGGGAGAAACGCGATACCATTATCGTGAAACTCGCTGGCGACTTGTTTGCCGAGCTTAAACTCGAACGAGCTGAGATATTCATCACGCAGAAGTTAGAGGTTAGATATTGAACAGCTGTTCTCAAAGAGATCAAACGCAGTGTCGGGCAAAACTGAGGATTTTAAATTTTCATCACATAATGACAGCTAACTCTTTGATAAGCTATTGCTTAAATTAAGACAAGCCGCGTAGCGGGTTGCCCCTGTTAACTCAAGCACAGCCCCTAGCAAGAAAGGCATGCGGTCGTTTGGACCGAGACGTAAATTTGAGATCACCTCTCTGCCACTTGTCCCTGTCAATCCAAAGGGCTCCGGAATCTCTGTTTTTTTTTTACTATTTTACAGTTTGAAGTTCACTGCCTTTAACTCACCGTACCCATGTGATTCATAATTTTCTTAACTTCAAGATACGACACGATCAATGAATCATTAAACCAAAACATGTTATATCGATACAGCAAAAATACATCTTGATAAATCCTACTTCAATGACTTCGAAAACTTAGAATAAATTATTTCCTGCAGGTGCTGCGAAAAAAGGCGGAGTTGTGTCTCAAGTTAGCCAGCAAAACCAAAGCCACCATTAAATTCTTGATGGCAGCCGTAGGAGAATACGATAAATTGGCTACGAAGAAGAAATGAATCAGACTGTTGTTCGTTTCTTTGCTGTTATTTGTTAAGTAAATAAATTGTTTGATATGCAAGATCTGTTATTTCAATG